TGCTTTAGTCTGCCACGCCACCAGGCTCTTAAAAATTAGAATTTTTAAATTAGAATTTGATTAGAAGAAGTAAAATCGGCACTCCAGTTATTACCAAGTACGAAACTACAGAAACTGCTGGAATACCGACAGTAATATGGCGAGTAACATAAGAAGAATCTATAAAGGTTTTAACCAAACAATGTTAGCAAATGCAGAGAACAGTAACAAATTGGAAAAGGTCAGCCTGCACAACAGTACTAAAGAAAGGAGACTGTTTGACAGTACTGTATTCTAAAATGTATATGCTGGCAAAATAATACCTAGGCTCATCCAATATAGACTAGAGTCCTACAAGGAAAAGGAGTTGTTCAAGATGGTTTCAGGAAAGGCCAGAGAAAAAGAAACATTATTGTGATTCATGCTGCATAATTGTCAGAAATAAAGAATACCAAAAATAAGTCAGAATATGCTTCATTGACTATAGAAAGGCTTTTGATTGTGTTGACCATGTGAAGCTATGGAATGTGTTTTTAAAAATGGGAAATCCAGAATAACCTCTTTGTCCTTATGAGAAACCCTTACACGAGGCAGGAAATCACATTATGGGTGGAACAAGATGCAACAGACTGGCTCCAGGTCAGCAAAGAAGTAAGAGAAGAACATATCTTCTCTCCTTATTTATTCCACTTATAAGTTGAGTATATATTAAGAAAAGCTGGACTGAAAGAAAATGTATCTTTAAAACTGGAGGAAGAAACATCAATAATTGGTGCAATGCTGAGATACTATTAAGATAGCTAAATATGCAAATAATCAGCAAACTCTAATAATGAAAATCAAGGATCCCAGTGAAAAAAATGGACTAAGATTGAATATAAGAAAGACCAAATGAGGTGCCATCCAACTCTACAGCAAACTGTCTGGAGCTGGGGGGCACTTTTAATTCACTGAATTAAATTTAGATTAACCAGGCTTAAAATTGATAATGAAGATACTGAAGTGATGGATAGCTTCTGCCTTTAAGACTGAACAATCAACAATAAAGAAATCAGTAATAAAGAAATCCGCCTTTTATTTATTTATTTATTTATTTATTATTTATTTATTTATTAAATTTCTATACCGCCCTTCTCCAAAAAGGACTCAGGGCGGTGTACAGCCAAAGTAAAAACAGAACATACAAAATTTAAAAACAATATTAAAATAATTAAATATTCTGGCCGTAAATTAAAACAACCCAATTTAAAATCAATTTAAAATTAAACTCAAGCCAGCCCAGCTAGTTGAAATAAATAGGTTTTCAGGGCCCGACGAAAAATCCAGAGGTCTGTTATTGTACGTAACTCTGGGGGAAGGTTGTTCCAGAGGGTGGGCGCCGTCACAGAGAAGGCTCTCCCCCTGGGGGTCGCCAGCCGACATTGTCTGGCGGACGGCACCCTGAGGAGGCCCACTCTGTGCAAGCGTACTGGCCAGTGGGAGGCTATTGGTGGCAAAAGGCGGTCTCGTAAGTACCCCGGCCCTAAGCCACCTTAATAGTCCGGAGCATCTTATACTCCGAAAAATATGGTAGCTGTCAGTTTTCACACTTTTAGGATCGACGATCAACACTGAAGAAATCAGAAGTCAAAAATATGCTGAAGATTAGCAATGAAGATCTAGAAAAAGATATTCAGATGCTAGGATGTGTCTATCTTTAACTTAGAGTATTGGACATGCAATGGACTCTACAACGTGTAAGGTGGATTTGAGGAGGCAGGATAGGAGGAGTGCTGATGCTTTTGAACTTTGATGTTAAAGAAAATTCCTGAGAATACTGTGGGTAACTAAGGAAACAAAGGTATTACAGAATAATCAATCCAAAGTTCTTGTTCAAGGCTAAAATAACCAGGCTCGAATTATCATATTTTTGACACACTGTGCAAATCACTCCATTGTGTTACATTAGGAATCCCTTATTTTTTTTTACTTTTAAAAGCATTTTTTCTACAACCCCTTCGGCCGAAAAAATGCTTTTAAAAGTAAAAAAAAAAAGCCTCTGATGATCGCGTGGCTCAGCTGGGATTGTTCAGAGCCTTTTAAAAGCATTTTTTCTAAACCTCTTCCACCGAAGAGTTTGTAGAAAAAATGCTTTTAAAAGTAAAAAAACAGTCACATTACCCACCACCACCAAGCCACGCCCACAGAACCGGTAGTAACAAATTTTACATTTCACCACTAATCGGTAATATATTTATATTTGCTGAAATATTTAAAAGCCTACTTTTATTTGCATTTCTGATAGACTGGCTATCTTTAGCCTTTTTTTAATCGCCCAAATGTTTCCATTTTAAAAGATTAGACATTTAAAATAATATGTAAAATTACTGAATGCTAAAATGCAATTTTTTATAAAAACATGCATGTATGTTATTGCACAGTAAATTGGGAGTCACCAGCCAGCAGGAAACTAACCATTGATCATAGCAGTGTTGTGACTATTTGATGGTTTTAACAATTAACAAAATCTATGATTTTAGACATCTTTCAAAATTTGTCTCAAACAACTCTGTTCCCACTGTACCTGCACAAGCTGAACAGATTTTTTTTAAAATGTTGTGACCCTCCTGTAAGTAACTCATGACTCTGCAAGATAACAACCCACATTTGAGAAGAAACACAATGATAAAGATCCAAAAGTGCCATTATGGAAGACATTTTCCTGTGCTATTTTTTAAAACTTAGCTAAAGTCCTTATATAAAAAAGAAGAAAAGAAAATGCAAAGTTATATTGCATAATCTCTTATAAAAATTTTGTACATCTCAATATAATTGATCTAACAAAGTTTTACAAATAAAATAATGTTAAGATCTTTTGCTTGATTTCTACAATACACATCAAGGGAGATCTTTTTTTTAACTGATGCAAATCTCTGTAGCTATACAATAAATTGCTGAAATGTACATACATGCAGGACAACAATACCAAAATGTTTCACCATATTTTTGTTGAATGTTATTTCAACAAATGAAAATGACTTTTGAAGCTGTGATTAATTAAAAATCGTATTGATTATAGCTTTGTTTTGTATTTGAGTTTAGCAAAGGTCAGAAATACCTAACCAGAAATATATTATTACATATTATATGGTTCAATATTATTCAATATTATTATTGAACCAAAGATGTACAAAACAAGTGGTTCAATATTTTGTATCATAAGATTCTCCTGAGTATTATTTGCCCTACAAAAATGAATACAAACTATAAATAATGCAAATCACCCATGAATTATTAATTTGTTACATATACATCATTCCCAGCTGCACAATTTAGATAAGCATTTTTTTCACTTAACTGTAAATACTTAAGAAATAGAACTGTTCACATATTTTCTTTGGAAATGGACTTGGTTGAAATTTAAGACAAAACTAACATAATTTTTCTCAGTCTCAGAACTTAAAGGGCGCGTACTTTTTTTGAAATAATTTTACAAAACTAGTCTGTATACAACAGTCACAGCAGTATATGTGTATACAACAGTTTTTCTAGATACAATCTGTATACAACAGTTTTTCTAGATGTTGGTCTAGTATCAGATATCACTTAAAACAGTGCTTTATGCTAGAGCCAGAATTCATGATCTAAAACATGGCCTGAATTACCAAACACTCCAGCAAATAATGACTGAAAGAATTCTATATGGTTCGTTGGTTATCTGAAGTACAATATCCATATTCATCTACCACATAACGATAAACCACATGTATCTATGGGGCAGAGAGTGGTATTGCCTACAAGGATTGGCAGCAATCCTGAACTTGTTATTTCTTGTCTTGCATATTAGCTTGTTCCTTGCGCATGGAACTTACTTTCTGAAAATGTTTTAAGAAAATGTTGGGTTTTTTTTTTTTAATGTCCTGTTTTCTGGCTTCATTATTCGTCTTTTATCTCATTTACCTTCTATCTTCTCCTAGCCAGTACGTTTCCTTTCCAACTCCATTCTCTCATTATAGAGCAGGGGTCTCCAACCTTGGCAACTTTAAGACTTGTGGACTTCAACTCCCAGAGTTCTGGGAGTTGAAGTCCACAAGTCTTAAAGTTGCCAAGGTTGGAGATCCCTGTTATAGAGTGTCACTGAGATCATGATCTTTGCAAACATTTGTTTTGCAGATATTTTTTATTATAGTACTCTGCACAGATTTGGCACTTCCATCGATATTACAAATATGATGATTAGTCACTATAATGGAATGGTCAACTAGATAAAATTCCTATACCATATCAAATTAGGATGACCAATCTATAATCCACAGGCCACATACGGCTTCCAATTTCCAATCTGCAGCCTCCCATCATGTTGACCCAAATTATCAATACGTATAATTGCTCTCACCACAAATTATAGCATTTATCACTAGATAAAATGTTAAAATGGAGGTACTATATCAACAAATTCACACATTGCATATAACCACAGCTTTTGGATGTCATATTGATTTAAAAATACTGCAACCCTCAGGTAAATGCTATAATTTGGTTTGTTGGTTTAATTTGCTTGTGGCAGGGTGTTTATTTTTTTTTTTATTACTGAATACATGTATACCTCACTTTTCTGCTTATATAAGCACTCTAATTGCCTTAAAATCTCAATTCAGCCCCTATGATTTGTAAACCACAATTTATGCACTGTATTGAATGAACTCTGCCAAATGTGACTTACTCAACAAACCTCAGTAACTGAGCACACCATGACCAACCAGGACTAAAGACAATATGTGATCCCAGTAAAAGTGAAAGAGGGAAGAGAGAAAGTTAGGTTGTGTTTCTTGAGGGAGGAATAATGCAGAGCCAAAAACACAAAACACAGAAAATCCTGACAAGAGTAATCATTTGATCACAAACATTTCAAAAACAACTGAAAAACTGCATAACCGAAGAAATTGAATCAGCAGTCAACCTTGAAAATATTAGAATTAATTTCTATTACAGTCAAATATATTTTTGTTAAAACTTTTGCTAAAATAAGTGAAATAAGTTACCTTAAATTTGTCAAGTTCTGCCTTTGAACACGTTGCATGATAAGACAGCACCTGATCCAGAAAAAAAAAAAGGGGGGGGGGGGAGAAACGGTCACAGATAAGAACCTAAAAAGTTACAATCATCTTAAGCCAGGGATGTCAAACACAGGGGCCAGATCTGGCCCACAGGGTGCTTAAATCTGGCCCACGCATCCGATCTGGAAATAGCAAAGAACTGGTCTGTGATGCCTCTGGCAGCCAAAACAGGAACAGGGGGACCATGTGCAGCCCCCCCGCACCCCGTTTCGGCCAGCAGGGTTCTGCAGGAGGCATCTGTCTCATCTCCCCCCCACCCCCGGCTGGCCGACCCACAGAGGAGAACTACAATGCTGATCTGGCCCTTGAAGAAATCCAGTTTGACATCCCAGTCTTAAGCCATCAACGAAGTGAATATTATAATGGTTTATTAGTATCTCTGCAATATATATTATCCACGAAACTACTTACCCTGGTGGACCCAATTTTAAAGAAGACTAGAATGCCCATGGTTCTGCTTCTAGATTAATACACTTTCGCTACAGCTACACATACTATGCCTACTTCAGGTTTTAGGCTTCATTTGCAAGGCAAATTAATAAACAACAGAGTCATTTAAATTATTTTTGATCCTGGCAGTAGTATCAACCACCGCTGCAGAGAGACATAATTGTCCGGGTAAAAGTACCCTGAAAACCTGAGGGGCTGCTGAGAGGCACCAAACTTTTTCTGTTTTTTACAAGTCTTAAAAATGTTCCCTAATAGTCTGTTTTTAAATGTTGAATTAAATGATTGAGTGATGTATGGAAACTACTCATACGAAATTAAGAAATTAGCTAACAATCTAAAAGAGCATTTTAAAAACCCTTAAATCTGTCTCACTTTGAAGGAATAAAATTGTTGATAAATAATGAGCTATTGATTTAGACATTTTACATGACACATGTATAAACCTAGGTCTTTTTTCTTCTGTTTCTTCAGACTTTTTTTTTTAACAAAAAGATTGTTTTCCTCACTTGTTTAATAGAGAGGAAGTCAAAGTTCAGTATACATAACTTTTTTGTCTTCTTTTGTTTGTTTTCAATATTTATTTTTTTCCAGTCTGCTCTTCCTTTTCATTTTCTGTATGCTACATCCCTACACAGCACATCAATTCTGTACTTGTATGTATCAGCATTGTTGCCTTTCTACTGACCCCTTTCCAATTATATATAGCATCCTTCGAATCAGTCTCATAAAAAGCTTTTTTTAAAAAAACCCTGAATTTTCAATAATACTTACATCAAGAGCCACAGACTGCTTTGCCCAGGACTTTTTCACTTGGTCGTACATAATAGTATTATTGATGCCCAAGCCACAAAATATAACAAAAGCCTAAAAAAAAAAGTCTAGCTTTAATATAAGTGATTTCAAAACTTAATAATACTGAATGGAATAAAGAAAGCAATTCTGGTTACGTGCATGAATTTTTTTTAAAAAAAATTGTGTGAGCTCAGAACAAAACAGTCCCACTTTAAATGCTATTGTGCTCTAGTCCTGGGAAACATTGAAAACAATGAAGTTCTTCCTTCTCAGGACTGTACAAGTATATACAGCAGCAGTTTATGCAGATATTGGCTTGTCAACTTGCATAAAGATTAGCCAAAAGTTAAAATTCCCCAAAGTGTGAAAGAAATTTGTAATTTCCTATATAGGTTTCAGGGATTCTTGTTTAGGGGGTAGGGGGAGTGCTGACTTTTCCCCCATTTATTGTGAGTTTTCTTGCAGATAGTCAGCAACTGACATCACAATTCTTATTTTTCAGTTTCAATATGTGGTTTTATCTTTCCTGGCAGCCTTGCAATATTGGCTTACAAACATATGAATGAAGAAACAAATATGCTTCTTCATATTGGAATGAGACCATTAAAGAAAGAAAGAAAGAAAAATGGCAAATACCGCTGTGCAGGGAAGAAATCTTACAAGGAAAATACAAAATTGCTTTCCTACACACTGGTGCTTAAGTTTATCTTCTAAAACCTCAGCCGCTCAGAAAAAGAACAAGAATGAGTCATGCCTGTATGCTTGATTGGATGGGTAAAAAAAACCCCTCTTTTTACTTCAAATGCCAAAGGAACAAATACTGTACACCGCAACATCTTTTTATAGCAAAATACATCATAGACTGCATCAATATTGCACAGGAACATGAACAGAGTGCAAGCCCTCAGCAAAATTCAACACTGAGCTGAAACCAACCAGTACAGACTTTTTATATGAGTTGGGTGCCCTACAAACTTAATAAATTATGGTTGGTTGCATAGTCAGCCATATGTTTAGACTGGATTTGGTCTTTTTATCCACCTATTGAGTCCTTCCAAAGGACCTAAGATAGACAAATATTGTTGAATAATTTTAAAGGCAGTGGTGAAATTCAGCTGGTTCTATCCGGCTTGGGCGAACCAGTAGCGCCGGTGGCGGGAGGCTCTGCCCACCCAACCAGATGTAATCATGTCCCATTTTTGACCCTCTGCGCATGTGCAGAAGGCTCTGCACATGCGTGGAGGAGGCACGTGCATGTGTAATGCTCACGCTTGCGCTCACATTTGCGAACCGGTAGCGAAGGTAAGTGAATTTCACCCCTGGTTAAAGGCATCATCACAGGATGTAAGCATGGACCTGACTCAGATTATTCAGGGACCGATTTATGAGGGAGGGCACACACCCGATCTTGTTTTCATCTCGGAGCAGTGGAGTGTTATGATCGGTGTGGGGGGGTAATTGTTGTTTCCCCCCGTCATGGACCGACCATGATCTCCTCCGGTTGGACTTGCCCCACCTTGCTGGGATGTGGAACCGACCATCTGGTTCTGTCCCAGGTGCCTGATGGACCCGGAGAGGTTCCAGACGGAGCTTGGGACGATTCCTCTCTCTCTCTCCCACGCTCTGGTTGAGACCCTGGTGGAGGCCTGGGATAGGGCGGCCGCTAGGGCTCTTGACCGTGTCGTGCCTTTGAGACCTCTGACCCAGCGCAGACCCCGGCTTGCTCCTTGGTATAATGAGGAGCTCCAGGGGATGAAGCGCAGAAGGAGAGGCCTAGAGAACTGTTGGAGGACTAGTCGTTCCGAATCTGACCGAGCCCAGCTAAGATCGTTCACACGGTCTTACCTGGAGGCGATGGCTGCAGCGAAGCGTACATACTTCTCCGCCCTCATCGCGTCTGCAGATAATCGCCCGGCTGCCCTGTTTAGGGTATCCTGCTCCCTCCTGTATCAGAGGGGGGGGAGGACCCTTTGCGGGGGCGAGCCGAGGAGTTTAGCCAACATCTGAGGGATAAGATCGCTCAGATTTGGGACGGCTTGGACTCTGACTGGGCAGGGTCGGACAGTGGGGAGGAAGCAGGTCTTGTTGTCTGGGAAGAGTTCGATCCTGTTACCCCAGAGGAAGTGGATAGGATCATGAGGAAGCTGAGTGCAACACTTGCATACTGGACCCGTGTCCCTCCTGGCTGATTTATGCAGCTCGGGAGGTGACACGCAGTTGGATCCAGGCAGTGATAACGGCATCTTTGGATGGAGTTTTCCCGCCGCCTTGAAGGAGGTGGTGGTTAGGCCCCTCCTTAAGAAACCTGCCTTGAATTCAACCATTTTGGACTTTCGTCCGGTCTCCAACTTTCGTCCAGTCTCCAACCTTCGCTTTTTGGCGAAGGTTGTTGAGAGCGTGGTGGCACGTCAGTTTCCGGTGGCCCTGGATGAAGCAGATTACCTAGATCCGTGCCAATCGGGTTACAGGCCCGGTTACAGCACTGAGATGGCATTGGTCGCACTGGTGGATGCTCTCTGGAGGGCTTGGGACAGGGATCATTCCTCTGTCCTGGTCCTATTAGATCTCTCGACGGCTTTTGATACCATCGACCATGGTATCATGCTGCGATGCTTTGAGGGGTTGGGAGTGGGTGGCACCATTTTACGGTCGTTCGCCTCCTACCTCTCGGGTTGTACGCAAGCGGTGTTGGCAGGGGGGCAGAGGTCGGCCATGAGGCCCCACTTGTGGGGTGCCCTAGGGGTCGGTCCTCTCGCCCCTTCTGTTCAACATTTACATGAAGCTGCTGGGAGAGATCATCCGTGGTTTTGGGGTGGGGTATCATCAGTATGCTGATGATACCCAGCTTTTTATATCCACCCCGAACCAGCCCAGTGATGCCCTCGACGTGATGTCCCGGTGCCTGGAAGCGATACAGATCTGGATGGGGACTAACAGGCTTCGACTCAACCCGGCCAAGACCAAGTGCCTGTGGATACTGGCATCTCGGGCCGAGCAAGAAGTCCCAATGCTGTCTATAGGGGGCGAGGTGTTGCCCCCCGTAGACAGGGCGCGCAACTTTGGCGTTGTCTTGGATTTACGGCTGAGTTTGGAGGGTCATATCACGGTGGTGACCAGGGGGGCGTTTGCCCAGGTTCGCCTGGTGCGCCAGTTGCACCCATACTTGGACCGAGATGCCCTACACATAGTCACTCATGCGCTAGTCACCTCCCGGATCGACTACTGCAAGGTCTCTACTTGGGGCTGCCCGTGAAGACCACCCAGAGGCTTCAGCTGATACAGAATGAGGCCGCGCGGGTTATTGCGGGAGGGACCCGATACTCCCATATTACACCACTCCTGCGCGGCTTGCATTGGTTGATGGTTGCCCTTCAGGTGAGATTCAAGGTGCTGGTGTTAACCTATAAAGCCCTTCATGGCTTAGGCCCAGGTTATTTGTCGGACCACCTGCAACCAGCGTCAACTTCCCATCGCCCGGTGCGCTCTCACAGAGAGTGCCTACTTAGGGTGCCGTCGGCTAGACAATGTTGGCTGGCGACCCCCAGGGGTAGAGCCTTCTCTGTGAGCGCCCCCACCCTCTGGAATCAACTTCCCTTGGGGCTCCGGTTGGCCCCTGACCTTTGCACTTTCCGCCGTGAATTGAAAACCTGGCTATTTATGTCCCCCGGCCTGGACTGATGGGGTAGTATATTTTAAATTCTTAAAAACTTTTTATTCTTCTGTGTATACTTGTTGTTTTTTAACAGTCGCTTGGTCAATTGTCGTTGTGAGCCACCCTGAGTCCTTGGAGATAGGGCGGCATACAAATTTTATAAATAAATAAAATAAATAAATTTCTAAATGCATCTGCCTTTCTTATTATGGTTTGTTGCACAATCAGCCAGCTGTTCAGACTGGATTTGGCATTTTGAGTCTTATTATATACATGTGCAATACAAAATCATCGCTGTGAGTTCTTCAGTTAGTGTTGGCCTTCATAAGGATTGGTCTTTCACAAGATCCCAGGTTGTTACAATACAGTATACTGGCACAGTACATTTGCATAACCAAGCAGTTTGGCCTATTATAATTGACAAGTGGGAATTTTGTCAATTTTAAATTAAAAAAATAAATAAAAATTAAACGTGATTTATTTAATTTAATAGTTTAAATAATTTACGTTTAAATTTTAAAATGGGAACATTATTATTATTGTTGTTGGTCACATAGTCAGCCAGATGTTTAGATTGGATTTGGCATTTTTATCCACCTATCAAGTCCTTCCCAAGAATCTGTTGTTTGTTTGATGGGGTTAAAGGCATTGTCCCAGGATGTAAAGCTCCTATTTCCAATTGAATGACTGTGATTTTGTTAACATGGATGGCATTCAAGTAGAGCTCCAGATGCTTAAGGATTGCATCCAAGGGACCTATTACTATTGGCACTATCTTGCCTTTCTTTTGCAACACTTGTTTTACTCTTGTTTACAGGTCTTTGTATTTTGTGATTGTTCTCGAGTTCTTCCTCTTCTATTCTGCTTTGTCCAGGTCCTATATCCATTTTTTTTTGTCTTTCTTATCAACAATTGATAAATCTGGGACATTATGTTGTAGGTACTGAATTCTAAAGTCTCCGAGCACTTTAGTCTCTTCATTTTCCTTTGTGTGTTTTTCTACCCTATTGATTATGGATCTTTCAGAGAACCTTTAAAAACAAAGATGTACTATATTTTTAAAGGTATCCCAAACTTAATAGAATCACAGTTGGAAATGACTTTGGAGGTCTTCTAGTCCAACCCCCTGTTAAAGCAGGAAACCCTATACCATTTCAGGCTGTCCAATCTCTTCTTACAAACCTCCAGTCTTGGAGCATTCACAACTTCTGGAGGCAAGTCATTCCACTGGTTAATTGTTCTATCAGGAAATTTCTCCTTAGTTCTAGGTTGCTTCTCTCCACGGTTAGTTTCCATCCATTGTTTCTTGTCTTGTTTTCAGATGCTTTGGAGACTAGGTTGACCCCCCTCCCTTTGTGGCAGCCCCTCAAATATTGGAACACTGCTATCATGTCACACCTAGTCCTTCCTTTCACTAAAGTAAACATGCCCAATGGAAGTCACCCCATGCTCAATACTCAATTGGGTGGATAAATCAGCAATGCTGCAACACAAGATTATGGACCAGGCTTGTTGATCACGCTAAGGTATATGGACCTTGGTTAAACCTATCCCTGCGTCTTTGCTGCACTCTCAGATTGATGAAAAATGCTGGATTTTCACACACACCCAGCTACGCAATGGGAAAGCAGTTATTTTCTGCAGAGAAACCAGGAGTCACCAAGATTCATTCACTTACTTACATTTCTACATCTCCAGCACACAAGAGCATGCATAGTGCATACTATACCTGAATTTAAGAAGGCAATTGTATTAGTATTGTTTGCATACCTAGCTTCACTCTTCGGAGCATCTCTCACTTACAGCAGTCAAAGCCAAAATGGCTTCCTCAGTTCCCCCTGTGCCCCTAAGGGCTACTGCTTCACACCAAAGCTCAGTCTTTCACATCATCCATGACAAATCCCTAGTGATTTACCGGCTCAGGCTGCAAAATTCAAAGTGAATTTTGAATTGCAGTAGGGGAAACAACATTCCAATTGGAAGAAGCAAAACAAAATTCTGGATCTTTACAGACCACCAAGAAGACTGCTTAAAAAAAAAGGCACATTTTATTCAGTAGTTGAATTCCAAAGAGGCATGTTTTATTCTGAGCGTGATTGTTTTTCACGCTGCTGGATCCTGTTAATCACTCTCTGGGTCACTTTTTCTGGAGCACTTGAGGAAAAAGTTGGACATGGTGTAAAAAAAGAGATCGACCAGGAATAACGAAAAGAGTAGAATTAAAAAATATCTTTTCATTTAAAACCTGTGAGTAAACATTAGATAAATCCTAAAATGTTATTCTATAGTAAGCAATTTAATTTGAGGTACTGTAAAGATTTATAAAGCAGTATCACAAGGAACAGTATTTATATTATAAAGCAGATGTCAGAAAAAATAAGACTATGTGCAATTGCAAATACTGATGGAATTATTACATTGTAAGTATTTCATATGCAACATAATTTATTTGAAAACCAAAATGGAAGAGCAAATTTTGGTGTGTTTTCAGAATAGCAGATTCAATCTTCCACTTTAATTTTACTATTTAATTTGATTATCACTCATACGAATGCTGAAGCAGACTACAGCAGCACAGGTTCTAAAGATATCTGCCACCACTAATATACAGGTGGTCCTCAATTTACAACAGTTCATTTAGTGACCGTTCAAAGTTACATTACTAAAGAAAGTGACTTTTTTACACTTATGGCTGCTGTAGCATCCCCATGGTTACATGATTTACATTCAGATGCTTGACAACTGATTCACATTTATGACGGTTGCAGTGTTTTGGAATCATGTGATCGCCTTTTGCGACCTTCTGACAAGCAAAGTCAATGGGCGTCTGAGGTGGCTTGGGAGTTCATGGCTTCCATGACGGCTCTGGACCTGACCCAGCTAATTTATGGCCCTACGCACACGGGGGGAAACACACTGGACTTGGTTTTTGTTTCTGGACAGTGGCTGAGTGATCTCGAAATAGGGGATATAGTCATCGAGCCCTTGTCATGGTCGGATCACTCTCTCCTTTGCCTTGACCTTCGAACCGCTGCACCCCACCGCAGGGAGGCAGAACCGATAAGATGGTACCGCCCCAGGCGCCTGATAGAACCTGACAGGTTCCAGATGGAGCTTGGGCCAATCCCCGAGGTTCTGGCTCACGCCTCGACTGGAGACCTAGTGGCCGCCTGGGACAGGGTGGCCGCTGGAGCTCTGGATCGAGTTGTGTCTTTGCGGCTTCTGACCCAGCGCCGATCTCACCTGGCTCTTTGGTTCACCGAGGAGCTGAGGGAGATGAAGCGCCGGAAAAGATGCCTAGAGAGTAGTTGGAGGGCCAGTCTTTCTGAATCTGACCGGACACTGGTAAGATCTCATATTAAGAATTACCTAGTGGCGATAAAAGCAGCAAAATGTACTCATTTTGCTGCACTTATTGCATCATCAGATAATCGCCCGGCCGCCCTGTTTAGGGTGACCCGCTCCCTGCTCCACCAGGAAGCGCGGGAGGACCCCTTGGAGGGAAGAGCCGAGGATTTTGTTCAGGATCTGTATGACAAAATCACTCAGATTCGGGAAGATCTGGACTCCGACTGGGTAGATCCAGCGAGGGTGATGGAGGGAGGTCTTGAGAATGTTATCTGGGATGAGTTTGATCCTGTGACCCCTGATGACGTGGACAGAATTATGGGTAGACTGAACACGACCACATGTTTGTTGGACCCGTGTCCCTCCTGGTTAGTGCTGGTTTCCCGGGAGGTGACGTGAGGCTGGCTCCAGGGGATTATAAATGCTTCATTGGGCGAGGATGTCTTCCCCGCCACCCTGAAGGAGGCGGTGGTGAGGCCTCTCCTCAAGAAGTCTTCCCTGGACCCGGCAGTATTGGCTAATTATCGTCCAGTCTCGAAGGTTGTTGAGAGTGTGGTTGCGCGACAGCTTCCCCAGTACCTGGATGAAACGACGTATCTGGATCCGTTCCAGTCGGGCTTCAGGCCTGGGTACAGCACAGAAACGGCATTGGTTGCGTTGGTTGATGATCTCTGGAGGGCTCGGGACAGGGGTTGCTCCTCTGTCCTGGTCCTGTTAGATCTCTCAGCGGCTTTTGATACCATCAAAATCGGTATTTTGATACCGATGCACCATGGTATCATGCTGCACCAGTTGGAAGAGTTGGGGATGGGAGGCACCGTACTACAGTGGTTCTCCTCCTTTCTCTCCAACCGGTTGCAGTCTGTGTTGACAGGGGGGCAGAGGTAGACCCTGAGGCCCCTCATATGTGGGGTGCCACAACAATCGGTCCTCTCGCCCCTTTTGTTCAACATTTATGTAAAGCCGCTGGGCGAGATCATACATGGTTTCGGGGTGAAGTACCACCAGTACACTGATGACACCCAGCTGTACATCTCCACCCCAGACCACCCCAACGATGCCCTTGAAGTGATGTCCCGGTGCCTGGAGGCCGTACGGATCTGGATGGGGAGAAACAGGCTCAGGCTCAACCCATCCAAGACCGAGTGGCTGTGGTTTCCGACGTCCTGATATAGTCAGCTGGTGCCATCGCTGACTATTGGGGGCGAATCACTGGCCCCCACAGAAAGGGCTCACAACTTGGGTGTCCTCCTGGATTCATGGCTGTCTTTAGAAGAGCACTTGACGACCATGACCGGGAGGATTTTTCATCAGGTTCGCCTGATCCACCAGTTGTGTCCCTTTCTAGATCGGGACTCCCTACGCACAGTCACTCATGCCCTTGTCACCTCCCGTCTGGACTATTGTAACGCTCTCTACATGGGGCTCCCCTTGAGGAGCACTCGGAGGCTCCAACTGGCGCAGAGTGCGGCCACGTGGGTGGTTATGGGAGCAACGTGGCGTTCCCATGTAACGCCTCTCCTGCGCGAGCTGCACTGGCTCCCGGTGGTCTTCCGGGTGCGCTTCAAGGTTTTGGTTATCACCTTTAGAGCGCTCCATGGCTTAGGACCTGGTTATCTATGGGACCGCCTGCTACCACCAATAGCCTCCCACTGGCCAGTACGCTCCCATAGAGAGGGGCTCCTCCAGGTGCCATCGGCCAAACAATGTCGACTGGCGGCCCCTAGGGGGAGAGCCTTCTCTGTGGGGGCACCTATGATCTGGAAAAAGCTCCCCCCGGAAATACGGAGGATCCCGGATCTGCGCACCTTCCGTCGCGCGCTCAAGACTTTCTTATTTCATCAAGCTGGCCTGGCCTAAATCTTTTTCCCTTTTAAATGTAAATTTTAATTTGTTTTTAAATTATTGGGTATTTTAAATTTGTCTCAGCCAAATTATTTAATTCATTTTTATTCTATTTTAAATTTTTGTATTTATGTGTTTTATTCTGTGGCTGTTCAGCGCCCTGAGTCCTTCGGGAGTAGGGCAGTATATAAATCCAATAAAATAAATAAATAAATAAATGGGGAAACCCAATTCACTTAACAACCATGTTGCTAATTTAACAACTACTGTGATTCACTTAACAAACGTGGCAAGAAAAATTGTAAAATGGGGCAAAACTCACTTAAGAAAACATAAATTTTATGTTCGATTGTGGTTGTAAGTCGAGGACTGCCTGTACTGAAATCAGTACCTGTACTGATAACCCAAGTTGATTCTATTAATTTTATTTTACTTGCAAGAAACTTTATAGGAAGGTGTCTTCTATAGAAATATATATACTGCACTGAATATTGTAATTAAACTGCATCAATTTGACATTTCTTACCTCAAAGAGTCGCTGATCAGCATCATCAAAAGGTTTTCCATCAAGTCTATTCAGCACCTGAGCAACCCCTTTACAAAGAATTCGCATACATAATTAATTTTATATTTTAAAGGAAACTCTGTATTTACAATGATAAGCATATATATAAATAAATTAATGAAGGAGAAATGCCACAAAACAAGAACTCAAAATTCAAAAACCACAAAGCATTATTACTTGCATTATGAATGATAAATGCTATTATACCAACAGCATCTGATACTGAATTACTAATATATTCATCAAAGCTTGAATTCAGCTAAGTGAAACAACTCAAAATAGTAGCTTTTCTCCTTCCATGCTGGCTGAATTAGATTTAGCTCTGAGTGTCGGGCTTCATGTCAACTTATTGTACAAATATTCTTTGTGTATCTCATTTTTAACATAATGAATTCCTTGAGACAGTAAATTATAATTAATTTGGAAGCACAGCAATCTGTTGGTTGCCAATCTTCTTTTCTTTCTAATCCTTCTTTCACTTGCTGGATCAGTACTTCAGAATTAGACTTTTGTTTATTTTTTTTCAAGCAGGGTTTAATTTAATTTTAATTTATTACTACCACTAATAATAAATTACTAAAACAGCCAACAGTAAAGTTTTGTTACAGTTCTATTGTTTGTGTTCACATCTTTTATACCATTTTATATGGAAATGGACAATATCAATATAAATTTAATTTGCAAATCTACAAAAGAAAGTTACTTATTATTACAATACTATTACAGTAATTAATTGATAGTGAACTATATCATATCAATACATTAACACATGTTTTACATTTAAAAAGTATTTTTAGTATTTACCAATTATTTGGTGACTGTTATTCCATATAGGTACACAGAGTACAGATCTTATATGAAAGCCAGACATCTGATCAACCTAAATTAAAAAAAAACTTCATCAACTACCATAACATATGATTTAGTCTTAATCCAAAAGGTATACAGGTAGTCCTTGACTTAGGACCACACTTGGGACTGCAACATCCATCACTAAGTGAGATGGTTATTAGTAGAGTTGCAGCTGTTTTACAACCTTTTTTTCTGCAGTCATTAAGCGAGTCATGGACTCATTAAGCAAATCCAGTTTTCCCCATTAACTTTGCTTGTTGGAAGCTGCCTGGGAAGGTCACAAATGATGATCATGTGACCCTGGGACACTACGTCATCCTAAATACACGCTGGTTGCCAAGTGCCAAATTTTGGTCATGTTACAACGAAAGTGCTGCGACAGTTGTAAGTGTGAGGATCAGTTGTAATTCATTTTTTTCAGCACCATCATAATTTTGAACAGTTGCTAAATAAATGGTCGTAAATTGAGAACTACCTGTATCATCATTCCCTTGCATATTTGAAAAAAAAAGAATTTGAAATGATAACACAATTACATGAACACTAGACAAAATGATATGTATCAATGCATCTTAATTGAACACATCTCAGTTGTACTGAAAAGCTTTTCTTCCTGAATTTTGGTGATCCTTTTTTTAATCTTTGTATTTTAATAGTCTTTTCATCATTTTCATCATTTTAAGCAATAATATGTGGTATATGGAGTTCAACATGTTATTTTTGCTGAGCTGTAAATGAAGTAGTTGCTGGACCCGTTACTAACAAATGTTATAAATAAGTTTCCAAAATGGTAAAGACATTTCAGAAATAAAATGCATAATAATTTTATTTGCAATTCAAGCAGTGCAGGAAAGGAACAGAAACAAAATCTGATGGCAAATCCCAGTTCTTAGCTTTCTTGTATTTTAATGAGATTTTATTTTAATAATAAAGACATTTTGTCTTCAATAATCATTTTTCCTGAAAATTGACTTTGGAGATTAAATATTAAATAGGAAGACAATCCCATCAAGAATTAATTATTGCTTCTTCTGCCTCATAAAAACAATATTCCTTCTCTAAATAAGTTGACAGCATTTTTATTAATGCACTCTTTAAGAAAATGTAAAACAAAAATTAATCAGCTGCATTACATATTAATCAAAAAAGCATATGTGAAATTGTAACTCTACATTCAGTAAGAATATTGTATGCTTTATTTCAGCATGCCTCTTGGCAGGAAATATTGCCTAGGCATTAATGACACTTTCTCAATGACTGAATTAATTACCTCCAGTAGTTTTCTCTGTAAAATGTTCTGAGCATTTATATTTCAAATATAATAAAAAAATCTATTATGAAGGCTTTTAGAGACATTTCTTGACAGACTTCCTATAAACAGAAGATTTTGTAAAAATGTCACTTTTGCTCTTTTAGCTTTGTATGGATTGAACTGCTGTAAATTTTCACCTAATTCTGCACCAGGCTCCCACCCACAAAAACACTCAAACTAAACCATTTTAGGGCTCTTTGAATAAAGTAAAGGAATTAAGAATGCCATAATTGTAGGAAATTTTGGTACTTGCGGCATCTACTGTCAATTGTGATCTGATATTTCCAGAAAGTACTGCAGGTTAAGAAACTGTGTAATGGAGCAAAACTTTAACAGACTGATTTGAATTAACCAGGCAATTATTTCAATACAAAGATCCAATGCTTATTCTAAAAATGATTAAATCAAATGGAGAAAAGATGCACTCAGAAGGCAAATCTTCAAAAGTATTGTGGATTGGTGGGAGGCCAAAGGGTCAAGAGGCAATCACGACCATGCAATTGAAGCCCCATCCCATGTAATATGTGTGGAAGTTCAATACATGTGCAGAAGGGATGTGGCTTCAAATATGTGGTTATAGGGACCGGGTTTTTTTTTAACACACCATGAGGATGTTTCTATAAATCTTGTAATTTCTTCCAGGTCTGTGATCAGATCATAAAAGGTACATTCAGCTATCATTACATTTGATAAATATGATTAGCTATTAAAAAGCTCTCCAAAATTTTGACTACCAAAAGAATATAGAAAGGGATACTTATATAAATCAAAAATGTCTTACTTCTGCATCAAAGCGAGGATCTTGATATGCATCACTGTTGTTCACTGGAAGACCAGTGGAAGCTACAAGTTCAGCAATGCTATTATTTACTAGCCAGTCTGAATAAGATGCTGATGGTTTCTCCAAATTGTCTCTGAAACTATTAAAAAGAGCAAGGGAAGAAAGAATGTAGTCACTATTGGTTCAAGATCCACTTTAATATATAGAAACCATCATCTTGTTTCAGAGTAACCTTCAAAATTTCAGAGCAGTTTAATTGCATTTAGATAATAAAAAATGGGCAGATTTATTTGTCCTCGGTATTTATATCTGTACACAACTGGGGGAAATTTTTAGAGTGACACAGAAAAAATGATATGCATTTTCCTTTAGTTATGCCTTTTACTCTATTTTGTAGCACATTGTCATCATTATTCTATATGGCCTATTGGCTAATCAATAAATAATAATAATTACAACTAGGTCTTGGAAAGAACTCATTGCATATAAGGGCCAACAACAGCTAAAGAACCAGCAGCTATGACTTCACATTATTGTGAACAAATAATAATAATATCTATGGGATTTCCAAATACAGGAATGAAGGCAAATAGACATGTCCCAGGATAATGTTGCAGGATCCAATCTAGGTTGGTCACCAGGACCAGAGGTTTAGTCTTCTTTCAGACTCATGCCGGAGACCATCCTCAGGGAACTTGTCTCCAGCAGAGTGTGTGCTTGGGCTATTCTGTGTGGTGCCTGTTGTATGTGGCTTTTTAGATTTTGATTGGTGTGTTGATGCTGGCTTATTAAGTCGTTGGCTGTTGTTTCCTTGTGCTGCCAAGCCCTCGCCTCCCAAGTACTTGATAAGCTGCTGGTAAATCAGCACTCCTGTTGACTGAGGAGGGATTCATTTCCCAGGCTTCAATCACGTCCCTTGGCTGTTTTTGTGCCTGTTCATCCAACAATCTTTGTAGCTGCAAAATTGAATATATGTCCTTGTTCACTGCAATGTGAGAGAGCAGATACAATATTCTGCCTCTATAACTCATTCCCTCGAATCAGTCACATATCTCAAGCAAGCTTGAAGTAAAATTCTTAAATGTTGGTTATGCTTTAAGATTTATTTCATCTCTCTTTCGCTTCTATTGCTCTTAAAAGCATAGTTTTCTAGAGTCCGCAGGCATCTGTTTTCTGCCTGCCACTTATTCCATCTTGCAGCTCATATTTCTTCCAGACAAGGCTAGAAATAAATCTTTGAATGATTTACATGAAACATTTGTATTTGGTAAACACATCTCCCCAGCAATGTTGATTAGTCACCATCAAGGGAAGAAACTGTCCATTCCAAAAGCAATCTGTCCTTTGTTGGGTGGGGGAAGGCACTTAGAATTTGTTTTTGCTTCTCTTTAAACCTTTATTTCTCTTTTTGCTATTATTTACCTTGGCTAAATATAATGCCATCGGGAGTGTCCTTAGTCCTGACTCAAATATGTTGTATCCTGATAATTTGATTTCTTGGAACCAGTTAATAAAGGTTTACTTTGTCTATCTCCCACAGAGAGGGTCTCCTCAGGGTGCCGTCAGCCAAGCAATGTCGACTGACGACCCCCAGGGGGAGAGCCTTCTCTGTGGGGGCACCCGCCCTCTGGAACGAGCTACCCCCAGGAATACGACTGATCCCGGACCTCCGTACTTTCCGTCGAGCTTTGAAAACCTTCCTATTTCAGCAAGCTGGGCTGGCTTAAAATTTTAATGGGTTATTTTATGGACAAAGGGTTTTAAATTTTTGGGAAGCCAATTTCATTTAATTCTGTTTTAATTCATCTTAATTTTTATATTGTATGTATTTTAATTTTGGCTGTTCACCGCCCTGAGTCCTTCGGGAGAAGGGCGGTATACAAATTTAATAAACCTAACCTAACCTAACCTAACCTATTCCTGATTTCTTTAAATTGTTTTCTGTCTTGGTATCACCTTTTTATTTATCTCATTGAAAAAAAGTAATGATTTTATAGTTATGCAGAGGCAAAGATTATTGTTGGAACACACATACATTTATTCTAATGTTAGTTTACTTTTCTTTCCTATTCTCATATTGTTTATTTGTTGTTTTATTACAAAATATTAACTCAGAACTGATTGATGGTGGGTCTTTTTTTCTCTTTCCCACGTGTAAAACTAATATTCTTTTTATAATCCTTCATTTTTATTTAAACCAATTGTAGCTCTAGAATTTACTAATAAAAGGAATTTGTCTCCATATTTATCATGCTGCAGTAGTGAGATTTGTGAAGATTGAGTACACTTTTACAATAGTGCAGCATATTTTGAGTTGAAAGGTAGGATGGCAGACAGGTATAACATTTACAGGCAAGAACGAGCCAGGACCTGTTTTTCGGGCCTTGTCTAATAATGAAATTCATGAAGTCAATCATACAGCTGTATTTCACAGCAGTAAGATTTGACTGGCAGACCAGAAGGAGCAAATCCAACTATAAACTGAGCATCTATGAAACCCAGCCCAATTGCCAGTCAGACTTGCTGGATCTGAGATGCTTTCTTTATGGAATTTGGCTTTTCCTTTAAAACCCCATCAATAAACTCAAGATCATAAACTAAACTATATCCTTTGCTTTTCAAATAAAGACCTCAGAAATCCATATTTGGATAAAATATTACTGAAAACAAAACTAGTCTCAAAAATAACATAAAAGATGCATTTACAGTTTTCTCTAGGCACCTCTTCACTCTATCCTGAAATCTTCCGTCATTCCCTCACAATCTCTAAATAAAGGAAAGAATAACTAGAAACAAAATATATTATGTTCTGTTGTTCCATTTTATAGACCCTGTAAAAGAGGACTCCAAATTTGTTTTTCCCCCAACGATTTTATTTTCATGATTGATTGCTCTACATAACACACTCAAGGATTACTGCATATTACTATAGAAATGCAGAAATAACATGAATGTCAAATGTTTCCTATACAAACTATACAAGAAAGATTCCAATAACCAAATTCAGAAGACATCAGAATCCCTAATAAGTCTAGCTAGAATCTCTGTTGGGAAAAAAAAGTAAGAAAAACAGAGACACATGGAAAAAGGGTGATTAGGGGAAACATTACATGGTCAAGGCAAATTTTTCAGGTTCAACACTATTTTGCAGACAAGAAAATGTTTTTTATGTTACAGAGAATAGCAGCCCATGGTTCTCAGCTTGTGTTCCAAGAACAGTATCTATGTCAAATTTAGTTCTGGACTTTTATTTCTACATAAAAGTTAGAACCAAATGTAGATGCTAAAAGTTCTTGGGAATTATATAAATCAAGCTTCATATTACAACAATATCAAAAATTCCCAAATTTCAATGAACCTCTAGATCTGCACCTTTTATTTTATAGTAAACATACCTTTATTTCTTCCCAATGCTTTCCCTGTAATATGTTGTGCATGAGATACAGAGACCTTACATAATAACATGGCCAAATAAGTATTAGAAGTATTTTAAGTGTTAAAAAAACCTGGATTTATTTTTTAAAGAGGTTATTTAATTATTACCCATTTTGTCATTAAGCTACTCCGCTATTTAAGCTGCAGCGGGATGGCAGGAGAGAAGAAACAGCCCAAAGTTTTAAACTATCATGAAAATGTTTGCACAGCTAAATACTATGTTCACTGCTAAAACTTAAATAGAAATAACCCCAAAATGCACAAAAGTTGGCTGGAAGGAAGAAGATTGTATAACTCTTCAATAATCACATCAATCAACCTATCAATATGGTGAAAGCATCTTCAATTTGTTGAAGCTAACTAACATGGATGTGATTAATAAACTGGATGATGACCATATGGAATGCCCTTGGCAGAAAGAGACTTAATCAAATCTTTTAGTCTGCTAATTATGCTAAAATAACATTCCATGTAATCATGCCACAGTTTTGCAACTGTTTCCCACATAACAGAAATGCAACCAATTATACCATCTGAGGAAGAATAATATTTTGTCTTCTACAACATATTAAGGGCATAAAAATATATAATACCTTTACAACAGTAGAACAAAAGTGAAGGAAAGTATGACAGCTGGGTTAACAAATGAAAAAATGTGCAAATAATTAATTAAACAAAAGGACCTCTTATTTGGATTTCTAGAATGAAGGTGAACTTGAAAGAGCTTTTCACAGACAGAATTTTGTCCTATAATCTAGGTTTATTCCTAAAAAGAAGATTAATTATAAAAGAATAAAATCTAACCTATTTTCTGTATCAGCAATGCACTTTGGAGACATCAATTCAAAGGACTTGGTAAATTTTACCTCCTGTCAAGATAAAACATGTGTAAATATCATAAATTGCAAATTTATTATACAACATTAGAAAAATACATAATCACATTATAAAAAATAAATATGTGCCCTATTTATACTCAAAGCATAAATCACATTCTTTTAATCCTACTACATAATAAAGAATTAACTGAATCCTTATATACTGTGAAATTATTACTAATCCGGCCTAGAAAACAGGAGCCCATGAGTCTAGTCCTGCCTTTGGCAAGAAAGCCAGTTGGATGACTTTGAGTCAGTCACTCATTCTCTCAACCCAACCCTCCTCAGGATTATTATTTATATCTGCCACCTTAAGTTACTTATAAAGTAATAAAGGTGAGATAAAAATGTAATGAATGGAATGTAATGTAATGGAATGGAATGGAATAGAATAGAATAGAATAGAATAGGATAGGATAGGATAGGATAGGATAGGATAGGATAGGATAGGAATAGGAATAGGAATAGGAATAGGAATAGGAATAGGAATAATTATTCCAAAATATGATTTCAAGGTCACCAAGTTGTTTTTAAGTATTGTTTTTGTTACTTGAGGACCTCCATGTAATGTGAACAGTGAAATATTTTATAGTTTAAAGTTTGGAGTACTGAATGAACATTTAGGGCTACATGGGGCTGCCTTGAAGACCATGCAGAAGCTTTAAACAGCTAAGGAAGCACAGTTATGGGCATGTCTCAATATGTCTATGTGACACCCTTGCTTTGCAAGCTGCATTGGTTGCCAGTTTGCTTCTGGGTGCAATCAAAGTGCTGGTTATGACCTATAAAGCCTTATACTGCATAGGGCCTATTTATTAGAAGGGCCACCTATGTCCCATGGTATCTGCATGGCCAATTTGAACTGACAATATTAGTGCATTTCAAGTTCTTTCAAATAAACAAGGTCATCTATCAGGACCCAAGAAACACAATTTCTCTGTCACAGTGCCTGACACCTGGAATGAATATGTAGGATCCAATTTGGGTTGATCTCCGGACCAGAGGCTTAGTCTTCTGAGCTTTCGGACTCATGCTAGAACTCATCTTCAGGGAACTTCTCTCTCACCGGAATATGTACACCAACCCAGATTGGATCCTACAACATTATCCTGGGAGACGTATATTTGCCTTCATTTGTGGAATGAAATTCCCTCAGATCTGAATGTCTCCCACCCTGTTGTCTTGCCAAAGGCCTATAAAGGCCTGGCTTTTCTTCCAGGCCTTGGGCTAGAGTGGCTGGAGTACCATTTGCAAGATGTTAGTTACTGGTGGGATTTTTGGGGGTTTGCTGTTTTGGTCTTCTTTCTTGGTTTCTATTAAATTGCTTTTATATTGTTTAGTGTAGTGTGTACCAAATACATAAATAAATTTGGTACACAACATTTGGTGAACCCAAATGTTAGACTATCAGTGTATCAAATTCAATATTGTTTAAACTAATCTGAAGTAGCTCTTAAGGTACCAATCAGAAAATTACCAATCAGATATGCCAGGAATTGTAATCTGCAATGTTATGTACATCCTGACATTGAACTATGACTACACTGACCATATTTGCTGGAAAAAAACAAAGGACAAACCTGAAAAGGGGGCAAATCTGAAAGAGGTTCATAAGGATCAAAACAAAATAATTTATAACAAAGGAAAACTCAAGAGCAAAACAAAACAAAACAAAAAAACTAAAGGACAGCTTTCTGAAATAAAGGCGTATCCTTTATAATATAGATTTATGGTCATTCTAAATATGATCCTTTCCCAAAGCTCAGTAAAAGAAAGGTTGTCCATTACTTTCAGTGGATTATATATTCAAAGGTCAAGGATCTAATTGGTTGAATAATAAGCTACAATGCCTTCAAAAATATTTTTAAAAACATAGGCTTCAACAAATATACCACCATGTGTATGATCAGAAACTAACATTTTTCTCTAGTTTAACAATGCAGAAGGGCTGCAAATGTCCAGTCATTCCTTTGTTGAATTTAGCACCTTCCCAGTTTTAAAGGTGAGCGGGGGGAACAAAAATGATTGCTTGGTGGGTTAAGTGAAATCACCCCCAAAACCTAGACTGTATAATAGAAAATGAGCAACACTTCATTCCATTCCTACTTGTTGAATTTATTTGTTTGTTTATTTATATTTCATATTTCTTAATAGCAATAGCACTTAGACTTATTTACATACCACTTCACAGTGCTTTACAGCCTTCTCTAAGCGGTTTACAGAGCCAGCATTTTGCCCCCAACAATCTGAATCCTCATTTTACCAACCTCGGAAGGATGGAAGGCTGAGTCAACCTTGAGCCTGGTGAGATTTGAACTGCGAAATTGCAGGCAGCCGGCAGCCAGCAGAAGTAACCTGCAGTACTGCATTCTAACCACTGCACCACTTTATGGCTCTTAATAATCCATCTCCTTTTTTCCTCAGAAATGGGAATGTTCCCGCATAAAGAACAGTTGAGCACAAGAATCTACACTCCCTTTCCACTCAGGCTTTTCTCTCAGCAAAACCAGGTATTTTGAGTATCCAATTGTTCATGATTGTTCCACCTTATTAGCTATCTGTTTCAACTTAGTCAACCAAAAACTTAGTACCATAAAAATTTTAAACAAATTTTAAGTACGTGCTGAATGAATAAATAAATACAAACATCACGACACTTACATAAAATACACTTTTCAAAATGTGAAATATATACTTACTGGTGATTCAATGTCGTCAAGAAGCAATACCAAACAACGCTCACACTTGAGTAGATTCTGGGCTCGATGCATAATTTTTTTCACAATTTTCTCCAAGTCTGTCTGTTCTTCAAAGAGATCATTAACCACCTCCAGCAAGGCCTTCATACATGGGATGGAAATCGATCACAATTGGTTTCCAAAAGTAATGAATAAATGATTGCGTAATATTTCAAAAAAGAGCTGTAAAAAGAACCAGTTACTAACACTCTGGGATACTGGTTACTTGTAAATGAAATGTAGATGCACAGTCATTCCATAGATACCAGGACATGTACATATGGAATGTTCTCAGTTTAGTTTCCCTGTAAGAGACTTGAATATATTTCAACTATTTTTTAAACTATTTCTGATTAGGGAATGTCCTAGGGAATATTAGCTTTCTGTAACAACTAGCAAAGATACTTTGACATATCATAATGACCCTCAGAAAATAATAATAAAAATAATCATCTAGTCACATACTTATGCTAAGTATAATCAAGCAAGTTTGATATAAACCTATGTGACCTTGTGTTGAACATGAGATCATTATTTTTTCTTTCATGGCAATTTGAAAGTAGAGGTACAAAGCGTTAATTAATCTCACAGCTACTTCACTTCAGATTGTAGTATCTAATTTATGTGTTTCACAAGGCAAATTATAACATAACAGATTAATTCTCAGTGGCAGTCTACCAAATTTTTGAGATAAACTAAATATTAAGTGATCTTGAAAAGTATTAGTAAAGAACAAGAAAAAAGCCCAGAATAGCTTTTCTGAATGTTTCAAAGTAATTATGTGGAAAAGAAAAAAGAATCCTTTCTCATACAGAATTATAGCCTTGATAATTATGGTAGTGAAGCTGAATAGATTTCAGGCAAACCAATACCATGCATTTTACATGGGATTTATTTCAGTTAAGAGTGCTGAAGAAAACAAGGAGTATGCAAACATGACACAACACCCAGTGTGAATACAGAACAGTGTACCGATGCCGATTTCTGCTCTTATTCATAATGCACTAATGAAGGCAGAAGTGGGCAATCACCAGCTGAAGAACAGCAGAGATTTTTTACAGAAAGATGCTAAAAGTGCTAGGAGTGGCAGAAGAAAATTTTCTAGTCCTGTTTTTTTCCTCCTTTTGGGGGGTACTTTCAAGGATAGGATTGGGCCCAGAACTGCTGACTACAATATGAAAGGGAAAAAATGGTGAACGAATACAAATGCAAGTGACTGGACAGGTGGATTGACTTTTAGGATTTGTTACATTTGGAGGGACTGAGGGCTGCAAAAAGGGTGAGACATGTCACACAAGAGGACAGGCAAGGGAAATTTCTGGATGCTCCTTTTTTAAAAATTGTGATTTCATTACTATAGGAGATATACAATTTTCAAAATGGTATCTCCAAGAAAAATGAAAGTCTACCCTTCCTCATGTCTTCCTAGTGCATAGAAAAATGTCAGCATAGGGATAACTATCTGCCATGTTCATTTAGTTATGATTTTATGATCCCACAGGACAACTTTTAGGTTGAAGAAGAATTAAATTAAACTCATGGTATTAGGAACATGAACTTTTTTTAGCAAACTAGATATTTTAAAAGTGCATTTTAATGCCTAGTAGATTTATTATCACATAAGCTCTTGTATCTTAAAGTCCACTACTTAAACAGGCAAAATGTTATTCTCAGCAGTCAGTTTAGGTTCAGTGGACTCTATTTCACAAAAATATATGTTAGCCAATATATCAACATAGCTATTATTTTAAAAGCTGTTTTCACAGAATATGACCTAGCTCTCTTACTTCTCCGGGGCAATGTTTCTGAAAGTGTGGTACTAGGACCCCCCGGGGTGGGAGGGTCCGCCAACACCTTCTAAGCAAAATAAAATCAAAATCAATTATTTGCTATCTGATGTTAAAAAATTAATACCATCTTAAAATCCCACCAAACAATCATGAGATATTTAATACGGTAAAAATGTAACCCATCCAAACAAGAGCTTTCTGGGGTCCTCCATAATTTGTAAAAGTTGGAAAGGGCCCTAAGTGACATTGATCCAAGAAAAGAGTAATTCAAGATTTATATATTTATTTATTTAATTTATATGCTACCCGATTCCCAGATTTGAGCATGGAGAAAGTGATAAACACATGTAAAGATTCCTTACTGCACTGGGAAAATGTAACCCCAGGTATAACAGGTACTTCTGAACTACATCTCCAAGTGTTCCTTACTACTTCCTAGAGTATAGCAGTATCTAGAACGCCAAAAGTTACACTATGGTATTTTTCAGAGTATATAGAGATTTGTTATGGGTATTCATTTCTAAAGAGCTTTCTTTAAAATCATCTTTAGAACCTTTTAAATAATGGTACTTGGGTTAATATTAAAATTTTTGGATAGATTTACATTGAAAAATCAAATAAATAAAATAAAAATAAAAATAAATAAAATAAAATAAAAAATATACAAGGCCAAGTTCACCCCAATTCATAATATGATCATATGGTACTATAGCAATTAGTCTTATTATTTGGACTAGATACTGGGGGGAGGGGGGGAGGGAAAATACATGCTAACTTCATAAGGGATACTAATTACCAATGTTTGCTTTGAATAACAGTAATAATTTGAATGAGGAAGTCTCCCCAAAATGGGGGTAAAAATAATTTGTATTTATTTTCATGAAAGCTGTATAAGGACTAATAATCGAGGCTTTCTTCCTTCAGAATCTCTTGCATTGTGATATCCTTGCACAAATTTACCACAGGGATCCAAGTTTGGCAAAGTGAAAGAAATGTGCAGGAGAAAAATGCTACCTCTCCTTTAAATTTAGGGATGATTTTTTTTTTAGCTATTTATTTATTTTTTATGTTCCCACATTATTGGAATCGTGGTATGAATTATTTTCACAAACTAATGAAAGCTCAAGTTATGTTAGTATTCCAAAAGGAAATCATCCTTCTAAGATATAGGCATTGAGCTCTTAAAGTAAACAGAAAAAATAAGAATTGGGTTTGCACAGCACCAATCCTAAAGACAGAGTATATATTAGCGCAGTTGGGGTAATGCGTCTAACATTACTATTGTGATTTTTTTTTCTTTACATTTTTTCCTTTAAATTTTCTGGAAACAAAAAAGAAGAAGCAACTAGCAGTGGAGAAAAAAATGAAAAATTAAACAAAATGAACATGATTATGACTGAATCCACATAAATTTCACGAATGAGGCATAGCAAAGCCAATGGATGAGGAAAATTACTTTAGAAGGCTTCCCCCCACCCCTTATTCTTCTTGCTTCCCACTGTGCTCCCCAATATCATCCATCTGGTAAAGAGACAAGGGAAATCAAGGAAACTGAAATGTCAAAAAATAAGACCAGAAATTTTATATCTGCTATAGTCAATTTCGTAAGAGCAGGGGAGACATCTTTGAACAGAGTATGTACTATATTCTCTTAGGTTATGCACTATAATATCTTGAAAAAATGTTATTGTTTGTTATTTAGTTTAAAAGTGTTGGCACAGTATAAGTAGAAATGAATTTCTGTAAATACTAGCAATTAAAATATAAGGAAGATAAATCATTTGGATGTAAGGAGAAGAATGAGAAAATAGGAAATAACGTTCTATAGACTTCTTCATATGTATAAACAAGCAAATTCCACAATTCAGTATAGCTTATTCCCAAGGAAATGTGTACAAAGATGCTAACTCATTACAGATGCAGCCAGGTCTATTTTCAGGATCATGCGGCTGTAGCAAAAATCTCTCTGCTGCAACCACACAGTCTTGAAAAATAATGCGGCTGCTTTAATAAGCTGAACAGAGTACTTGTGCTCCTGTACGTTTCAAAGCAAGTTTTTCCCAATTGAATTTAAAGAACCGCACAAACCGCTTCACTGGGTAAAAATACATATGGCAATATTAAAATATAAATACAAATTATGAATAATATCAATTATATTCATTTTGCTGAAACTACAGATTACCGTAACTGTACAAATAGTTATGCAAATCATCACTTGTTCTTTTATCACATGGTAAACCAGATGCCACATGAAATAATATTAATGATAGTTATTCTTGTTGTTATTCTGACTTACTCTGCTTCTATCGTACTCCTTCCTGGAAGCAGCAAACAATTGAGCATTGGATATGGCAATACCACAGAAGGGAAGGTACATTTCCATTACCTAGCACATAGAGAAAGACAAGGTCATCAAATGTTCTTTGTGAAATTACATGTGTATCAGCAATCTCATTTTCATAAAAGATATATCAGAATATCAGCTAGTCTGACATCAAACTTACTTATACAGTTCCCTGCAGAGTGAAAATTCCTGGATAAGAAAACACAACCACCCCCCTACCCCATCTCACTGGATGAAGAATCAGGCCCAGCTCTTTTTGTACCCAATTTTGTAGGGTGCAATTCAACTCCTCAGATATTTTCTAACAGGTGTTTCTTAATTATGACAATGATTCCCCAGGACAAGATTGTCAAAAAACAATTGCTACCAACCTGCCTTCCATTGAGGACCTGTATACTGCACGAGTCAAAAAGAGGGCTGTGAAAATATTTACAGACCCCTCGCATCCTGGACATAAACTATTTCAACTCCTACCCTCAAAACGACGCTATAGAGCACTGCACACCAGAACAACTAGACACAAGAACAGTTTTTCCCCGAATGCCATCACTCTGCTAAACAAATAATTCCATCAACACTGTCAAACTATTTACTAAGTCTGCACTACTATTAATCTTCTCATCGTTCCCACCACCCATCTCCTTCCACTTATGACTGTATGACTGTAATTTTGTTGCTTGTATCATTTGTACCCTATGACTATCATTAAGTGATGTACCTTATGATTCTTGATGAATGTATCTTTTCTTTTATGTACACTGAGAGCCTATGCACCAAGACAAATTCCTTGTATGACACCAATCACACTTGGCCAATAAAAAAATTCTATTCTATTCTATTCATGGTAAGAATCTTCCTACTAAAATGCATAATCTTAGGCTAGACTCAGAACACTGGCTGCCTACCAGAACATACACAATAGGGAGGGGGGAAAAAAACCCTGACAAGAAAGCCAGTTTGTGTAATGGTTGAGGTGCTGGCCTAGAAACCAGAAGGTATTGAACTCTATCCCACCTTAGACATTTAAAAAAATGGCTGGATGACTTTAGCCAATCACACTCTCTTTCTCTCAGCCAATTCACCTCAGATGATTATTATTGTGGGGGAAATAGGAAGAGGAAGAAATACAGTTACGATTTCTTCCTTGGGGTATATATTGCAATAAAAAAGGCAGGTTAAAATATTGTGGTAATGACAATAACCCCCAGTGAAACTCTACCTTGATGAGGTTGTGCGGTTTGCATGCTCTGAGGAAGATGAGAACTATGCCAGAGGTTCAATCGTCATGGACAGGTCTCCTCAGATAAGCCAGACAAAGAGTGTCTCTCCCATAAACAATACGGTGAGACATAACTACAGAAATTTATACCAGACGAGTCATTGCCTGGGTCAACAATGACCATACTAGGTGTAGGAGTTCTTAGACATCTGGTCACAAGTGGACTATAGGACTCAGGACTGTTAACTGAGCAACCAGGGCTAGCAGCTATAGGATTACTGGAAAAAGTTGCTTACTCATCACAAATATACAAAGAAATCATGATTTGCTATTATAAATCAAATCCAATGAAAAGAGGATATCTGAAAAGAATGCACCAGTTCTCGAAAGAACATTCAGATTCTAAAATAACAGAACAAATCAACATCAACTTATTACATGAAATAAAGGATTCACAGAAGTAGAACTGGAAGTACATCAATGGTCTACCCAGGACAAAGAAATTGAAGTCTTGCAAGAAATATGTCAGCCTCTATGATGCTTGCTTGCTATCAGCTGCCATAGTAACGGGGAGGGGGGAAGATTGGCATTTGGGTGGGAAAATGAGCTGGAGTGAAGACGGTCTGTGTGAACAAAATGGGCGTTGGTCTTACCTGATACGCCCTTTCTGTGATAGGTGGGCATGGCAGTCATGCCTGGGAGTGACACTGCCTTGCTCCAATGAGACCGAGTCTGCTGTAAAGTTCTTAAGTCCTGCCTCTTCCTGTGTAGTCCAGTTTTGAGACGAGGTAGATCAGCAGACTGTCGTGTCTGGAAAATTAGAACATACATGAGATTGCCACCCACCCCCATGCCCAGGAACGGCCCAACAGGGAGGGGCTGACTGCCATGCCCACCTATCACAGAAAGGGTGTATCAGGTAAGACCAACGCCCATTCTCTTGACGGTGGGCACAGCAGTCAAGCCTGGGACATACCAAAGCCAATGACCTATAGGGTGGGATCAGGCCGGACCTGGGAAGCAGTCTCCAGATGAACTCCTTGCAGCACTCTCCTTCCAAATGCCTCATCAGCCGAGGCGTAGGTATGCAACCGGTAATGCTGGATGAACGGAGTAGGAGAGGACCAGGTGGCCGCTCTGCAAACTTCCTCCGGGGGGCCCTGGTGGACCAGGCCACTGATGTGGCCGTGCTCCTTGTGGAGTGTGTTGTAATATTCTGGGGAACCGGCAAGGCCTGGACTGAATACGCCGTAGCTATGGTAGCCCTGATCCACCGGCCAATGGCTGAAGAAGACAGCTTGGCGCCCATGGACAAGGGCTGGAAGGCAACAAACAGGGCTTCTGTACGATGGAAAGAAGATGTGCGGGCAATGTAGATCTTAAGGGCTCTGCGAACGTCTAGAGTGTGCCATGTCCGTTCTAGTCGGTGCTGAGGAGAAGGGCAGAAATTGGGAAGAACAAGTTCCTGCGATCTGTGAAAGACAGAGTTGATCTTGGGAATAAATGCCGGATCCAGACGCAGGACCACCTTGTCCGCATGAAAAATACACAGATCTTGACGGACCGACAGGGCCGCTAATTCTGAAATCTGGTGGGCTGAGGTTATGGCCACCAGGAAAGAGACTTTGAAAGACAGAAATTTGAGGTCCACCTCCCAAAGAGGTTCAAAAGGGTGCCTAGTGAGGTAAGGTCCCTCACCTTACCCTACCTTGGTAAGGTCCCAAGTAGGGAACCTGTGTATGACTGGAGGCCTGAGGTTTGTAGCTCCACATAAAAAACTGTGAATCAAAGGATCTTTAGACAGCGATACAGCTAATGAGTAAGACAGAATAGATGAAAGCGCTGATACCTGGCGTTGTAGAGTATTCGGAGAGAGACCTGAAGAGAAACCATCTTGTAGGAAACCAAGGATTTGAACAACTGATGCTGACGTGGGAACTATAGTGCGCCGCCTACACCATTTGGAGAAAGCAGTCCATGTGGCGTCGTAAATACAAGTCGTAGATCCTCATCGAGAGGTCTGAATTGTTGTGATGACATCCGGGGGAACTTGAGCCTCTGTCAAGAGGAACCGCTCAATCTCCAGATGGCTAGCTGGAAGGGCTGTGGATCTGGATGAACTAGCCGTCCTTGTAGCAGAGACACCTGACTGTCGGGAATCCTCCAGGGAGGGGCCACCGACAGGGACACTAGGTCCGCGAACCAAGGATGGCAAGGCCAATGGGGGGCCACCAGTGCCAGTTCTGCCCCCTCCCTGATGAGTTTCTGGACCACCTTGGCTATCAGAGGGAACAGAGGAAAGGCGTAGAGAAGGATTCCCTTTGGCCACGGGTTGCGTAAGGCATCTATTGTTTCCGCCCCCTGACCTGGGAAACGTGAAAAGAAACGGGGTAGTTAATGGTTGACTGCTGAGGCGAACAGGTCCACCTGAGGATGGCCGAACCTTCTGGAAAGCTCCTGGAATAGACAAGGGTGTAGGCTCCACTCTGCCGGGTCGATTGGATTGTGGCTGAGGGATTCCGCTTGAACATTGGACACCCCCGAAATGTGTTCTGCCCTGAGAGAAATTAGGTGGGACTCGGCCAAGAGCCCCAGCCAAAGGGACTCCTGGCGGAGAACTCGGGAACGGGTCCCTCCCTGCCTGTTTATGTGTGCTTTGGCAGTGATGTTGTCTGTGAGAACTAGGACATCTCTGCCCTGGATCTGGGCCAGGAATCCCTGAAGAGCGAGGAAGATCGCCCTGAGTTCTAGGAGATCTATGTTGAGGTCGCATTCCGGAGGGGACCACCTGCCTTGAATCATGTGCGTCTCCAGATGAGCTCCCCAACCTACTAGGCTGGCGTCCATCATTATGACTAACCGTTGCGATTCCAGGAATGAGCAGCCCTTGGAAACATTCTCTGGTGTTCACCATTTGAGAAACTCGACGGCATTGGTGGTCAGATGTAGGAGGGAGGTTGAGGGACTGTTGAGGTTCCGCTGGTAGGTTAGAAGAAGCCACTGCAACTCCCTGCTGTGAAGACAAGACCAAGGTACAATACCATAACAGGACACCATCTTGCCTAGCAGGCTAGACAAGCTCAGTAGGGAAGCTGACCTGGACTGAACAAACCTACGGGCCATATCACAGAGACTATCTTGTCGATCCTGGGATAGGAAAATCTTAGCTGACACCGTATCGATTACAGACCCTAGGTGCTGAAGACAGGTAGAAGGAGTCAAGTGACTCTTCTTCCAGTTAATGGAAAACCCATGAGTCCTTAGGATATTGAGAGATGTGGCCACATCCCAACGAGCCTGAAGCTCAGATCGGGAAAGGATGAGTATATCATCCAAGTAAAAAAGAATCCTGACCGGAATGGAGGAAATGTGAGAATTAAGGGCCGCCATAATTTTTGTAAACGCCCTAGCCGCTGAAGATAAACCAAATGGAAGGGCTTTGTACTGGTAATGTTTACCATTGTAACAGAACCTGAGGAATCTACGATGGGCAGGGAGAATAGGAATGTGTAAGTAAGCTTCCGTTAACTCAATAGAGGACATAAAATCTCCCTCTCTAATTGCTAAAAGAACAGTGTGGAGAGATTGCATCTTGAACCAGCGGTAAATTATATACCGGTTCAAGGATTTTAAATCTAGAATAGCCCTCCAATCCCCCGAAGGTTTCTGCACTAGGAATAAATGAGAATAGAATCCCTGACCTCGTTGGAGGGAAGGGATGGGTTGGATGGCTATTATCAGCAAAAGGTGTTCAATGGCGGCCGTAACACGAGCATGTTTGGCTCTATCCAAGGACAATTGTTTGTCCTTGGATAGAGGACAA